ATAATCGCTCCAAGTACTAGTTAAAAAGGAGAACTATGAGGCGAGTGCTTTTTACTCACCTCATAGTTCTAGCCGACCTGTGACAATGAGACTGTCACAGGTCGGCTCAGTAGATCGGGAGGTGAGCGAACACATACCGGCGTTCGCTCACCTCTCGATCCTGTCACGGCTTTGCCGCGACTGGCGGAACGGACGGGGGAGGGAGCGGGTACAGCTGGCTCTGCCTCTAGATAGGCAATGCCAGCTGTCACTCACGCAGCTGGGCGGATCCAGACATCGATGTCGAGATCCGCTCCAGCTGCGGCGTCTCAGTATACCGCGAGCTGTAGCTCCCTATATACTGAGCTTAGGGTGACAGGAGGACGCTAGTTTGTGTCCTCCAGTTACCCTAAGGAGAACTATGCGGAAAAGCCCTGCCCCATAGTTCTCCTTTAAGCAGCCAGAGGATGCCTCAATGGATGCTGGTGGTACATGCATTTAAGGGGGTGGCTGGGTGCTGGTAGAGAGTGATGCCACTAAGAACCAGTACATTACAGGAAGTCAGACATGCAGGCGAGGAGTGCCCGCCTCTTCCGGGTACTGTACAGCATTGGTTCTCAACTAGTGGTTCGTGACCCTAAAGTGGGTCGCGACCCCGTGTTCAGTGGGTTGCCGCATGCCTTCCACTTTTCTAGATGAGAGGCTCCTCAGCCTCCCTCTAGCGCAGCACTTTCAGTTCTCTTGCCAAGCGGCCATTCAAAATATGCTGCCCTGCACAGAGTGTCAGCTTGGGATGGGATGGGTCTATGGCCACGAGGGAGTTCCATCCATACAGCTCCCTCACATGTCCTGTAGATGTGCCTGGACCTGAGTGACATCACATTCTGGCTTCCGGCACCTCTATGGGCGCACATGGGAGCTGTACAACCAATGCACATATGGGTGGACCTCCGTCACAGCACAGCAGCCCACACTGGACCCCAGTTCTCGTAAGGTAGGGAGACTGGGTGGTTCGTAAAAAAAATAAAAAATGTTGGAGTGTGTATGTATGTGAATGTCTGAGATTGTGTCTGTGGTTGTGTATGTGTGTCAGTGTTTTGAGGGCCTGTTCACACTACTACAGTGTGTTAATGTACCATGCAAAGGCATCTACCGTGCAAGGTGTGTTGCATTGCCATTCATTTGAATGGTACACCAAACGCATCTCCCACCCACATTGGAACACGCATTACCCTAATGCCGTGCGTTCCATTGCAGTGCAACTTAATGACCAAGGACAAATGTGAGTCCTGAGGTTAGACAAGTTGAGAACCACTGCTGATTAGGAAGTTGGCTTGTAAACCTGTAACAATGCTGGATCACAAATCTGATGCAAGTGCTGGTGATACAGCAAAGAAAGGAAAAACCCTCACCATGGAGGATAAAGTAGAAATAATAAAAAGATCAGAGAGAGGTGAACACTCCTTCATCCATTGGCAGAGCATTTTTTTTTACAGTCAACAATCGCAACAATTTTAAAAGATAAAAAAGGTAGAAGAAAGCTGCCCATACACCTTACGAATATCGGCCGAATTTGGTTTGCGATCGCGTTTTCGTCCGATATTCGTAAGGTTGATGGGCAGTGTACAACCGCAAATACTGTACAATCGATCGACTTTTGACATTCGGTCGAATCGTACGATTTTTACAAGGTTGGTGGCGTTTCCGTACGTCAATAATCATACGATTTACACTGCTCATGCGCAGACGAAATTATACGTGCTGTTTAACGAAATTCATCCGCTAATTGAACTGTGCGATGGTCGGGGCAGGGTGGGGCTGCCGTACGAAAATCGGACGACGGTGCGATCGGATGAAAATTTTCGTCCGATGATTGCGAGGTGTATGGGCACCTTAATGGAGCCTGTGAAAGGCCGTACCCCGATGAATGCTACGACAACCCAAAATTTTCAACAGCCAATTGTCACAGGGACAGAAAGTGAGGTGAAATCTTCTGAACAGGGACACACACAGCAAAACAAAACGTTACAGGGGGTTAACCCTTCCCTATGCTAGCCAAAACGAAAAAAAAATTTTTTGGGCTGGTTACATTTAAAAGTTTTACCTGTTCCAACTTACATACCAATTCAACTTAGAACAACCCTACAGACCCGATCTTGTCTGTAACCCGGGGACGGCCTGTAATCATTATAAGATGATCATCATACTTATTGTTTCAGCGCATGAAGGTATCTTTTAAATCGGTGGTTCTCAACTTGTGTGACCTCAGGACCTACATTTGTCCTTGGTCATTACGTTGCAACCCAAGTCGCACTGAGATGGGACGCACAGCATTGCGGAACTGCGTGTTCCGATGCGGGCATATGAACTGTGGGTGGGAGGTGTGTTTGGGGCGCCATTCAAATCAATGGCAACGCACCAGAACCCGTAGTAGGTGCGATTGCATGGCACAGTGTGTTAATCGCACAGGACTGTTTGATTACCGCACTAGTGTGAACGGGCCCTCAAAAACACTGACAGACAATCTCACACACACGTATACACGCCAAAAAAATAATGTTGTTTTCTTTTTAAGATCCACCCAGTCTCCCTTTCTTATGAGAACTGGAGTGGATCCTCAGCCTGGGGTCCACTGTGGGCTGCTGTGCTGCGATAAGAGTTCCATCCGTGTATTGCTTGCACAACTTGCGCGCCCTGTAGAGGTGTCGGGAGCCAGAACGTGGCGTCACCCTAGTCCAGGCACCTCTACAGGACATGCGAGGAAGCTGTAAGCAATGCACGAATGGATGGAGCTCCCTCGCAACCATAACTCCAGCCCACCCAACCTCAAGCTGACACTTGGTGCTGACTAGTGATGGTCTCGGGCGTGTTCGCAGCTCCACGTGCCGAGCCCGCCAGGCAGCTGACAGCGCCAATCACAGGTACTGAGACATTTCCTGATCTCTGCAGCTGCGGCCCGGGGAACATGTCTCAGTACCTGATTGGCGCTGTCAGCTTCCTGGTGGGCTCGGCACGTGGAGCTACGAACATGCCCGAGCCCATCACTAGTGCTGACCAGCATATGAATGGCTGCTTGGCGCGAGAAAAGACCGTACTGCGCTAGGCGGAGGCTGAGAAGCCCCTCACCTAGAAAAGTGGAAGGCGCGTGGCGACCCACTGAACACCGGGCCGCGACCCACTTTTGGGTCACGACCCACCAGTTGAGAACCAAGGTTTGAAATGATGACAGATAACATATTACTGGAAGTGGACTCATAGACGGAATGGCGTTACATAGTTAGTCAGGTTGAAAAAAGACACAAGTCCATCGAGTTGAACCTATAGAGAGATATGAAAAAATTAAATAAAAGCCTAAACAGAACACTATTCCCCCAATTACCCCGTTCATCCAGAGGAAGGCACCCCCCTCCCCCCCTATAAAGCATGGCCACAGATCAATACTTCTCTAATACATGCACATATCTGTTGATCAGTCAGCTCTTAGCCCCCATTCACACCATAGCGTTGTACAAATGCACGTCATAAACGTTTGTTTCCGTGTTTGGCGAGCATCCCCATTACATTCAATCTTCTTTTGAGCATGCACCAAACAAATGTGACATGCGTTTTTTCCCCTGCACACTCATGCACGTTTCCCCGGCCACGTTTCTCCATGCCTTCTGAATTTGGTGTACGTTTCGTGATTGAGCACTAAAGCATGCATTTTTTCCCAGCGTTTGGCGCACGTTCACGATGATGTGAATGGCAGCTGAAACCGACTACCTTGGCCTTATTCGGGCCTTTGAAAACAAAAGCAATCATTTAGAGGTGATGATACATTCACAATGAGAATTTAGAGATATGGGGGGAAAGGTTCTGTGCCGTAAAACAGGTTTTATAATGAAAGATTACACTTTGATAAAAAGTCTCTACATCAGACCTAAATGAGGGACAGTTCCTTTAAATGGAGGGCAGCTGGTAGATAGGAAAAGGTGAAAATCAGCATGGGGAGCATGTGTTAATATTAAAAGTATTTCTTTGTTATTAGTGGAGAGCAACAGATCACAAATTGGAACAATCAGTGTACACACAATAATGATGCAGATAATAATAATAATAAAAGAGCAGCAATCCAATCTCCTGCACTGATCCCTACACAGAGAACACAACACAGCAAACACACCTGAGGAGTGAATGTTATCCTGGCCCCTGTGCACTGCCAGCCATATCAGTCCATTCACTGACACTGCATTCAAGCAGCACACAAACTCTGCAGCCTCCACTTCCTCCTTCTCACTTCCTTTTCCCTCTTTAGTACACGCCTTCTGTGTCTGTACAGCAATGAGAACTGTGTAGCAGAAATGATCTCCATCTCCCATACAATACTATGTATCTATATGTATGTATGTATGTATGTATGTATGTGCAGGAGGAGGGGGGGGCCGAGGCTGGTGCAGACACTCTGATCATCGAATGTTGTCACATTGTTTGTTTGTGCTGCGTGTTGTGTTATTTCTGCGGCTGTGGGCAGAGAATGTCACCTGCAGAAGCAATATCATCTCTAGCCGCTAGGGGGCAGGCGGCGCGATGTGAGATTGTATTGCTCCTTATTAGGAGGATCGCATCATGCAAAACACAAAAAGGGAAAAGAAATGATTTGGCAAAGCAACATGGAGGGTGTATATTCTCTCCATCATCATCACCAGAACAATAGCTGAGCCAAACAGCAGGCAGACATTTTACTGGATGATTGCACTCTTTAACCTAACTGTATACATACAGATTAATATACATAAAGGAAAAGAAAATACAAAAAAGATCTATTGATCTATCTGTCTATCAATTGATCTCTTTTCTATATATGTATATACACGGTATACAGTATTTATAATGTCTCTCTTTCCCCCCCTCTCTCTTCCTCCATCTGTCTCTCCCCCCATCTCTCTCTCTCATTCTTCTGTCAGATGCATCATCTGCTTTTACGTCTCTATGACCCACATGTGGAACTATAAGAACACGAGCAGTCTCTGTGTTAGCAATGTTGAAGGACACGTCACACAAAAGTCATCCTATACAGACAATCATTTCCCTTATCACCCATCCACATGCGCGCGTGGCATGAATGCATACGTACATTATTGCATACGTTGACGTGCGTTGCATTGCAGCAGCCCGTTGCAATTTATAGGCTTCTGACGCACCGACACATCCCTAAAACCGCCCGCGTCACAAAATGTTTGCCCTTAAGCACTACGGCGTGTTGCAGCACATGTGCATTGCCCTATTTCAAATCAAAGGCGCCGTAGAGCTTCAATGAATGCAACGTTCATGGCTGTGATGCACGTTAACATGCATTCCCACAACGCAGATGTCAATCAGTCTTTTGGGCCCCCCCCCTGATCATTAACTTGAACGGGTGACAGCTGCCGCCTTGTAAACGACAAATGAGAGATTCCTGCAGCAGGAAATGGCAAGTCCCTGACACAGGGATCCCTACTCCCACCTAAAGATATACTGTGGGTGTAAATGGGGCCTAAGATTTGCTCTGCGAGCTTCAGGGCTACTTCACACCAAATCCGGACCAGATCTGGATACGTTTCTGCATATGCAGTGCGTTTTTGATGCGTTCCAGTCCGTTTTTGTTTTTTTAGCCTAAAATGGGCTTCCAGGTGTAGTCCAGTGCGTTTGCATGCGGTTTCTATGTGTTTGCATGTGTTTTGGTGCATTCCAGAGCAGAATAGGCAATAGTGCCTGCTAGGGTTGCCACCTGTCCTGGATTCACCTGGACAGTCCGGGTTTTGAGTCCTGTATGTGTTGTTTCCGGGTTTCAGGCCCGCCGACATCCTGACCCGGCACATTCAGGACTCAAAACCCGGACTGTCCAGGTGAATCCGTGACAGGTGGCCACCCTAGTGCCTGCTGCAGTTTTCCCACAGGCACAGGAACTGAACGCCGTGGTGTGACCACTAAATGTAGTAGGACAGAAAGTTGTCAGAGACTGCAGAGAGGCTACAGGAGATGGTCAGAGACTGCAGGCAGTGGCGTCACAAGGGTGTGTGGGGGTTGCGGCCCGCACCCGGGTGCCACCATTGGTGGGGTGATACCAAAATGACTGACAGTCATTTTGGTGTCACCCCAGTCATTTTGGTGTCACCCCTTATGAGCAGTCGGGCAATCGGTCATGGACCGAGAGCCCGACAGTGTCAGGAGGGGACCCGGCGGCATACCTCATCCCGCCCGGTGAACGACTCCTCCTCTCTCTGCCGGCATCCATCACCAAGACGGCCACCAGCAGGCGCCAATAAGATGACCGCGCATGAGCAATCACGTCACGGTGGGGTGTCACCCCTTCTACGCTCCGGGTGACACCCGGCCCCGGGATGCCCCTGACTGCAGGCATACTACAGGAGATGGTCAGAGACTGCAGACAGGCTACAGGAAACGATGAGGGAATGCAGACATGCTACAGGAGATGGTCAGAGACTGCAGACATGCTATAGCTGATGGTCAGAGACTGCAAACATGCTACAGGAAATATTCAGAGACTGCAGACATACTACAGGAGATGGTCAGACACTGCAGACATACTACAGGAGATAGTCAGAGGCGGCAGACATACTACAGGAGATGGTCAGAGGCGGCAGACATACAACAGGAGATGGTCAGAGGCGGCAGACATACTACAGGAGATGGTCAGAGGCGGCAGACAGGATACAGGAGATGGTCAGAGACTGCAGACATACTAAAGGAGATGGTCAGGGACTGCAGACATACTACAGGAGATGGTCAGAGACTGCAGACATACTACAGGAGATGGTCAGAGACTGACAGAGGAGGCAGACATACTACAGGAGATGGACAGAGGCGGCAGACAGACTACAGGAGATGGTCAGAGACTGCAGACATACTAAAGGAGATGGTCAGGGACTGCAGACATACTACAGGAGATGGTCAGAGACTGCAGACATACTACAGGAGATGGTCAGAGACTGCAGACCTACTACAGGAGATGGTCAGAGACTGCAGGAGATGGTCAGAGACTGCAGACATACTAAAGGAGATGGTCAGAGACTGCAGACCTACTAAAGGAGATGGTCAGAGACTGCAGACCTACTACAGGAGATGGTCAGAGACTGCAGACCTAGTAAAGGAGATGGTCAGAGACTGCAGACATACTAAAGGAGATGGTCGAAAACATGTAAACATGCTAAAGGATTTGCTGGAGACTGGGGGCATGCAAGGGACAGGAGACAGCCAACACATCACATAAGACTGCTAGAGATCATTCTTATTTCAGCCCCCTTCGGAGATCAATGCTTCTACATTACTGCTCCCTACAGTCCCCATGAAAATGAACCACAGAAAGAGCCATTGTAAATGATCTGAGGGAAAAACATGCCCGCAGAGAGAAAGGAAGAGATAGCAAAGTAAGAGAGTGACAGAAATGAACCATGTGACCAGTAAACCCTGAACCAGCGTGAGGGAGAATTCTTCCTTCTCTGGCTCAGGTAAGAAGACAAATAACCATCATTTAACCCCTTCATGACAAAGGCCTTTTTTTTCCTCCCTGGTTTGCACCCATTTTATAATCTACATTTTAGGCCGGAAAATTACTTAAAACCCCCCAAACAGGATATATTTTCTGAAAGCCGAGACCCTGTAGAATAAAGTGTCGGCAGTTGCAAATTTTTATGTTGCAGGACATTAGCATAACGTATTATCAAACCCAAAAATGTAGTGAAAAATGCACTTAAGTTAAATTTAGTGCCCCAAAACACAATATAAAACCCATTTGTTTGTAAAATATAAAAGATGAGGTTACAACGAGTACATAGATACCCAACATGCGCAGGTTACAAATTGTGTGCGTTTGTGAAACTGCAACAGAATTCAGTACCCCAAAAAGTCCATAGACGATGCTTTAAAAGCCCCCACAGATCATTAATTTAGAGATACGTGTAAATATTGGCCCTAGAGTCATTGCTCTCACTCGGGCGTGTGCGGCGATACCCAACATGTGTAGCGCGATCGGCGTTTTCCTACGTAGGCGCACCCGATTCGTGTTTCCGTGACAACGTGCGAGCTCGCAGGGGCGGGAGACTTAATTTTTTTTACTTTTTACATTTCATTTAGTTGATATTATTTTTAAAACGGTTTTCTTTTTTTTAACTTTACTTTAATTGCTATCACATAGGGAGGCTTACAAGCCCACCATGTGATAAGCAAATAGTCAGTGACAGGTACTCTTTAAGATGATGCTGGCGGTCCAAAAGATCCCCAGTGTCGCCTTTACACTCTAAATAAGCTGCTGAAGGGCAGATCGCACATCAATAGCTTATAGCTGGGCTTCAGGAGCCCAGACTGACAGCTACGGGACCGGAAGTGATGCAATACACATCGCTCCCAGTCCCATAGTACGGGGAGGGGATCGACGAACCGATGTTAGCTGCTCTCCTCCCCAGCTTCCCGCCAACACCCGGAAAGCTGGTCCTGGGCCCTTAGGAGGGGCAGCGGAGCCCAGGAAACAAGGCAGGGGTGTCGGGCGGGGGAAGGGGGGCCCGGTTACCGGACCGTAGAAGCGATCTGGCGGCAGCTGAGCCGCCAGAATCGCTTCTACTGTAAAGAGTGACTCTACAAAACAGAACAGACTCCCGACAGCTAAAACCCGCCGGGAGTCTGTGTAACCACTTCAGACTTCATGTCGGGATTATCCCATCATAGGTCGTGAAGGGGTTAAGGTAAGACTGCGGAGTACACAGGACAGCTCTGGATTTCTGGCAGGATCAAAGTATATTTTGCACTTATTGAACAGATACAACGAAACTCTTTCCATGGTGAATGTACCAAAGTGAGCAAATAAGAGACGTTCAGTGTTAAGATTCACATTCCCTTCAAGGGACTTTCCTTTTCTAAAACACTGTAACATACGAGCCCGGTGTATGAAGACATAACTCCGGCAGATCAGCCTCGTCTCCCCGACTCCTTCCAAGCATGAACATTGTGTATGGAATCTGTATCGTAGCCCCTCGGGCTATTTGCTGAGCGGCTGCAATTTACATCTTGGCGGGTTAGCTTGTTGCAGCTGGCCGCCCCGCTTGATAAATCCCTCCGGCTGGCAGAGTCCGTATTCTCTGAATGGCCGCAATTTCCAGTTTGTCACATCGCCGGCCAAATTCCCAGGGTTCCTCGCTGGCTCTGGTTCCAGGCTATTCAGACGACGGGGACGTCGTTGGAAAGCGTACGGACGCAGTGTGGCAGTCCGCTGTAGAAGCTGAACGAAGTAACACGCTTCCTTCATTAACTGTATTAGGTATAGTGCCAGACATAGGATTGCACTCAGTGATGTCAGCATGGAGCCCATGGTGACGCCCCCCGCCGAAAACCCCGTAGACGCCCCCCCCTGAAGATTGAGAGCTTCTGTTCTTCATCTAATTACTGTTACATTTAAAGTGTTAAGGTGCTAAGGTTTTAAGGTGCCCATACACTGCACGATTCTCTTACGAGAATCGCGGGAAATCCCGCGATCGTACGAGAATCGTGCAGTGTATGGAAGGCGTGCGACCGTTTCTACTGTACGGTCGCACGTCTTCCGTCAAACCAGCAGGCTAGAAAACCCGCCGGGAATCGTAAGATTCTCGGCGAGTTAGTGGCCTGCTGGTTCGACAACTGCCGAACGGGCCGGTGTGCGTGCGCACGCGCACACAGCCCGTTTGCAGTCATCTTAAGCCCGCCCCTCATTGCAGTCATCGTAAGCCCGCCCCTCAGGGGGGTGGGCTTGCGATGATCAAGAGTACGATCTACCTGTCCAAGATGGGCAGATCGTACGTTTTTAAAATCACTTTACAACCATCGCAAGACTAAGGTCTTGCGATGGTTGTACAGTGTATGGCCACCTTAACTTTGGGCAAAGTAAAAAATTATGAACATGATACAGTCTGTGGATACCACTAACACAGCTGCTTTTTGGAGATACCCTCCCCCCAGTGATATAGTTATATTACCTGTGGATCCCCATCCATTAATAGGCCAAGCTGACCAGCGAAAATTGGGTCTTTGTGCTTACCGTAAAATCCCTTCCTTGAAATCCACTGCAGGACACAGGTACAGTGTAAAGGTGCCCATACACTGCTCGATTCTCGTACGAGAATCGGGCGAAATCCCGCGATCGTACGAGAATCGAGCAGTGTGAACTAAGACGTGCGACCGTTTCTACTGTACG